TTGGACCAGACAGCAGTGACAAGCACCAAGGCTGGGCCAACCTCCCAGCCCTGATGGAAGCGGAAGCGGACGAACCTTGCCGTACGGGAACTTCGAACGCCAGGCTCATGCAATCTTCTACATGCCCAATTCAGAGAGTCTACCCAACAGGTTTACCTGAGCAAGGCAGGCCAGCGCCCACAGACACATCCTACCGTCCTTCCCCTAGCTTACCCAAGGCTAGGCGGAGCTCAGACTAGCCGGAGCGACTTATATCCCTACCCCTACCCTAGAGCTAAGCCATGCATGAGTAGACCCCGTCATATACCTGATAGACCCCCCCAGACCAGCATCGTAATTTGTGTGTATGTGTGTATGCCCAGAGGCTTTGTATGTTTTGTACGAGCCCATAGGGCCACGTGTTCTTGTATCTGCCCGGAGGCTCTGTGTGCTGTGTGTACCTGTATAGCGAGATGTATGTGCCCGAAGGCCAGATATGTGCAGTGCTATGTAGAGGGAACTATGGGTTTGAAGAGATGACAGGCCAAGCTGGACAAGAACCCCCCCCAAAGTCCCCAGCCAGACTCAAACCCGTGATCTATGACATGATGAGCAACAATCGCAAACGGCCCGTGTGTGATATGCCAGACTGGGGAGATCAACAGAACAACCACGAGCAACAGCCACAAGCAACCCACGCAGTATCAAGACCCGACATACAACACCATGGACAACCCTTGGGTGGTGCGCAGGCAGTGTCTGTATAAGCTTACCGTGCGTCAGCCCAATGTGTGTCCAGCCGTGCGTCATTCTAACGCCCTGCCGGTGTACATGCGCAAGACTGCAATTGAGTTTTGAACCCGCAACCTTATACCACAATGCGCATTTCCAACCGGTGCTCTAACCACTGAGCTATATCAACTGGACGGCATCGTCTCTCCTTNTCAACTGGACGGCATCGTCTCTCCTTGTGTATTTGCATTTCGGTGAGCTATATCAACTGGACGGCATCGTCTCTCCTTGTGTATTTGCATTTCGGAATAAGCGAGGATCTTAAAAATTGTCTTTTTCTATTTTCTTTCTTTCTGTGCAGGCATTGCCCACACTGCCCGCACCACAGGCGCTAAGCTAGACCTCTGCTAAGGAGCAAGGAAACACGGAGTGGGATTGAAGTATCATGGTCGGTACTTGGAGGTGGAAAGTAGCCGTACTGGCTCTCCCCATCAAATTCTGGTGGACAGCTTGGATCTGGTGACTAACTGGTTCCGTTCAAAGACTAGGAATGGGATCTCGGAAGGACCAGTTACGAAAATGGCAAGCTGACAGTCAATCCCCCTATCGGGGACAATCAATGCCGATCAGGGGTCCCTCGGCCAGACAGGAGGAATCATGAGTGAGCCGTACTGTAAGTTCATGACTGGCCAGTGGAAAAGGAACCGGACTGACGGCCCCCAGAGTGGACATGGAGCCAGGGGGGGCAGGGGGGGGGGGGGGGAGAGGAAGGAACCTGACTGCTGCTCCCCAAAATAGAATGCAGGCAGGGCCATAAGTCCCTGACCAAAAAAAGACTTAGGGTTACTGACAAACACTGGACGAATTCCGCTTTCTCGATTTCACCTGTTTTTATGTTTCAATTCTTAACGACTGTTTTTTTCCGCTTTTATCTTTTCACCTTTGAATGCCCTGTTTTGTGTTCCCATTCCGATTCCTGCCTTCCTTAATGTCCTGTCACAATGTTTTCCCTCGGGAACAGTCTTAGTTCCAACTCACCAATGCGCCATGATTACTCTGATGAATATTTATGCTTACGGTCTCCTTGACCATGGGTCAGGCCTCAAAAGCGTTCTCTACTCTTGTTGGACGAGATCATATGCGGAAAGGGATGAACACCTCCACAACAGTAGAATATTTCTTGTTTTGTGTTTCCATTCCGATTCCTGCCTTCCTTAATGTCCTGTCACTATGTTTTCTCTCGGGAACAGTCTTAGTTCCAACTCACCAATGCACCATGATTACTCTGATGAATATCTATGCTTGCGGTCTCCTTGACCATGGGTCAGGCCTCAAAAGCGTTCTCTACTCTTGTTGGACGAGATCATATGCGGAAAGGGATGAACAGCTCCACAACCGTAGAGTATTTCTCAGTGGACGAGCTTCTGTGTTCAGCTCTGCCACGGAACCAGTGTTGTCAACGGGGATATAGCCTGAGCGATTCAAGTGGGCTGCACTTCAGTTATAGAGACAGTTGGAGGGATTTGTATTCCATTGGCAGAGGTGAAGTTCTTGGATAAAGAGTGAAAAAGAGGGCCCATTGAGAGGGCAAGGAGGGAATGGGAAATGGATGAGAGCGAAGTTTCGTGGTGAGCATGTGTAGACAAGGCAGCTTGAGCGGCAGGAAGCGGAAAAGTGAGGAGCATCAAATTTTGTGACAGTGGAGACGAGGCTGTCAGAATAACCACCAGGTTGTGAGGGATGGGAGTTTGAGATTGGCACCAGGGGGGGGACGCGATGTGCCCAGCTGTCGGGTTGGCTTTAGCATTAGTGGTGCATTGATTGGCACTGAAGTACTACGGCTGCTGCAGGGAGCTAGAGGGGGAGAGGTAGCAAGGTATGCTCGATGCTGAAGGATGACGATGTAGGAGTGGTAGACCAAGGTTTCACAACAGGAGTCGAGCTGGATTACATGAAGGTGATTTTGAATATGATAAATTCACGCACTGCACACTTGCTCCCCTCCTCCTCCCCTCCCCGCCCCCACCACGGGGGCCACTAACACAACCGTGCACATTCCATGTAGTGAGAAACTCAGAACGGCCTGCCCGTAGCATCTCTGTGTGTAGCTTCAGATGTAGGTTTGCTCAGTGTCATAGCGTTGTCTAACATTAAGCCAACTCACAGTAGAAGAACCTTTCATAAGAAGGAAACTCTCTCTCTCTCTCTTGCTCTTTTTGCTCTACTCTCTTTTACCCATTCCCGTCCCATCTGACCTTCGTTTCTTTTTCCCCTTTCAGGCTTTCACAGAATTTCACTCATTTAGGACATCTCTTGACTCTGTGTGTGGTCCTCACCGGGGCCATGCCAGTCCTCTCTCCAGCACCTAACAACCCTTTTCTTTCCGGCTTTCAATAGCCTCTCTCCTCTCAATGTTTTGTGAATGATTCTCTAATCTGATACCATGTCCCCTCTTTTTGAGCGATTTAACCTCAGAAATGGTGCGTAAGTGTGGGTTTATAAGTGAGCCGGACTGAATTCCCAGAATGGATATGGAGCCAGGACCTCAAGGCCCTTTTTTTTCTTTTTTTTTCCACGAAAGAAAACATCAATATAAGGAAATTGAGGAATTGAGGCCATACAGTAGGACACAAATGCATGATATGGTCGACATCCTATACACACCTGCAACAAGTCCCGAGTGCAGTCCAATTGGTAGAGAAAGACTGCCATTCATCCGAGAGCGAGCACCAGCTAAAGCAAGTGACAGAAGAACGAGTCCTGGTAACGCAGGAAGCGACCTGTAAGCACAGACAAAAAGTACAAAAGAGGAAGAGATAGGGAAGCAGAGCTTCATCAGAGGAGGTAATAAGTATCAAGGAAGGATCGCGGAAGTATGAACAAGGGGGCATAACGTCGTGAGAGAAACGAGTTCAAAAGAGAGAACTTTACAATAGTAGCGAGCAGGCCCGAGCAGGGGGAATATCTAAGCATGAGAGAGGGATGACTCACATCAACTTTACATCCCCCAGGTCACATGCGCCTGACAATGGACGTGAAGGCTAAGAACCGAAAGAGCATTACCATGCCATTATGCCTACTTTGAATGTTGAATGATTGCTATGCATGCATCAAAACCACTATTTTATAGTCTCACACGTACAATTGTTGAGCTGGATGGATAAAAAATAGATCCCTCCAGTCCATTTAACTGAAGCGCTTCACCGACGGTGACCTAAAATCGATGGGGCAGTTGTTGGCTTGTAAGCATTTCTGTTACATCAGATGATCCGATCTCACCACCATCTTCATGCAATAGAATGCTGGGCTTTCTGATTTAAGTGTGACACCTGAATAGAACACCCAGTCATTACATTCGTATCTGGTGCAACTTTCAGTCTCGACTCAGTGATAACGACTGGGCGTTCTATTCGGGTGAAGATGGTAGGATTGGAGGAGGTTGGAGAGAACCAGTAACTCCGGGAGGAAAAAACAAAGAAAGCGAGATTCAAACTTCTTCCTCTGTTATCTCATTATATCCTTGTTGTTATCACTTTTTTTTTTTCTTTTTTTTTTTGACCACCAATTCACAAGAGCCTAAGTTGATGAAGCTACGTTTCAAGGCTAGCTAGCCCACAACTGCGCCTTTCGCCTGCCACTTTCGCTACCGACCCCGGTCCAAATCAAGATGCTCTTACCACATAATACCAACAAGAGCACTATTTACGTTCGTGTGAACTGGTGGTTTGAGAGAAAGATAATTGCATTCTCCAAAACACTGAATTAATGCACTAATTAATATGTAATAATATCACTACTTTATCAAACATCATAACGTAGCCTCGAGGCTACGTTTTCTTCCATTTTTCGGACAAAACAACTTCAATTACAAAAGGCAAAAAAATGAAAAATTCCAGTTCCTGTCCTCCTGATAGGGAATATAATAGAACTCTAAAAAGACTTCATGGCGAGGATCGGGATTCAATGTAGATTTTTAAACAGCGACTCGATTTACGACATCGCGCTACCACCACTGGTGAGCAGCACTGCCATACTGGATGCCATGATGCCATCAACTATGATTTGTGTGCTCTGTTTTCACAACACATGCACACAGTGCGGCTGAGTTTTCACTCGGTGTCTTAAGTGGTGAAGCTTCGGAATTTTTTGTTCACCTTTTAGCACAGCCACACCCCGTCAAGTAAGCACTACCTGAATTGGTGCATCAGACAGAGCTGTTGATTGTAATAAGGAGATCGAGCAGTCATCCTCCAATCCTGTAATAGGATTGTGCAAAAAGGCCAAAAAGAAACCACAAAGATTTGTGCGCCAAAGAGAGGGGGGGAAATGGTACACCAGCCAGTGACCAGCCCACTAAGCTTGTAACTGTGCTGCTTCAAGAATATCAGACCAACCCCTGCAGGACCTCTACTATCTCACCCCCGAACATAACGTACCCTTATCATGACTGTATGGGGCTGGAGGACAGCAAAGTTCAAAGGTCAACAGAACCCAAAATTCAAAAGTCTAACGCCAGTCCACAGTCTCCACAGACACCTTAGAGCAGCGAAAAACATCTGAACAATCTCTCTCTCTCTCTCTGTAGCAGAGTAGCCTTGGCTCTCTGCAGGCAGGGACCACAACAGTTGACATTTTGCACCAGCACTTCCTGCCTCTCAAATAACGTGAAAGTATGGGGTTCCCCTCACACAAAATTTGTGGGCACGTCTGAAACGTGACTGAAAAGCATGCATCCTCCAGCAAAGAGGTTTGCCGGCATGCCCTTGCCATTAGCACGACTCCTCTTCATGTTTCGATCCAGTGCTTCCTGGCCCAACCACGACCCCGAAAAGATGGGGGTCCCTGTCACACAAACACATGCAGATTCAGTTGGAGCTTAAAGGCATACCAATGGATTTGAAGCTGGTCTGGCCCTGGGTTCTGCTGCTCCTCCTTTGCCCTCTGTTAACCCATTGGAAAGTGAATCTCTGGCTTGGGTCAGTCTCTCCCAGGGTGAGCTATTCTCTCCCTGAGAGACTAGAAGCCAATAATTGACGAGTCGTGGACTGTTAAAAAAACTTGCTACTTTTCTCGTGCTCTCGAATTGACTCGAGAAGACGAGTTATTTTCTGGAGTCTTTTTCGAAGTTCTGATGGATGTTTTTGAACGATTCTTTTCCATTGTTATCTAATTTCAGTACCTACCCCAGCCTTGATGCATATCACCTCTGACTGATGGGTGTCCTGGGAGGGTTTTCCAACAGCCCCTTCTCCAAATGGCCCAATTGTTACCTTAGTACCTCCGGCAGTTGGGAAAATAGGGAGGCCTCGGGTGGGCCTCCAATCTTTTAGGAGGCCGAAACGAAACGACGGACGCCGATGAGATTTATCAACGTTGGGAAAATAGGGAGGCCCAGCCCCCAACTTTTTAGGAGTTTATCCCAACACTGGCGGACGTACTAGTGCCTTAACAGGAATTGCCGGAAATAATGAGTAGTAAATTTTCGGAGATTTGATATTGTCCATGAGTGGTGATACGGCAAGCTCTGGCTGTAGTGATCGCTTGGCAAATGTTTTTCGACATCCGATGAAGCAATATTCCAGCATCTCTTTCTTATGACATCCACAAGGTTTGTAGCGTCTGCTGGATGTCACTTCTTTCCTTCTTCTCTGGTTTAACAAGCCGTTGACTGGAGCTGCTTTGAAGGGTTATCGGCCAAAAAGACTTGCTACCTTTGCAGGTCTTGTTCTTGAGAGGCTGGCCCAGTCTATCATGAGAGTTTGGTTTGCCAGTGTCTGTTCCCCTGCGGTCGCCACTTTGAGAAATCAAGTAGAAGATGAGCCTTCCTACTTGTGTGGATAGGGGTTTTATAGGAAGTGTGTACCCTAGCTAGTAGAAGACGGAGTCCAGCTACTTGAGTTTTCACGGGTTGGGTTATCCGAGACCATCTTAATGGGTCAACTTCTACCTGCCCGATTTCTGTGTCAGCCCTACAGGTGCTATTGCGCCTGAAGGCAGGAACCTCCTTTTGCAACCGCTTTCTGGCCGGTCCACCACACTAAAACATGGGGATCTCGTCCGCTAAAATGCCTTCTAGACATGTGAGCACATTTGAATAATTTGATAAAAAAGTCAGTGCAATGGACCACTTATATCGTCCCTCCAAACATTCGCATCATGAGAGTTCACACAAAAATCCACACCGAAATCCAGATACGGAGAGAGCAGATTAGCGCAGCTCATAATCTTCAATGAATGACGGTGACCATATTTGACTTCTGAGAGAAACCTTCAGTACACGTGCTGTTTCCCCTTCAATTTCCTTTCATAAACAGATACGTTCTGAGGGGTTGTCTTCATCAGTTCCTCTCCTGTGAACCACCGGACTTCCATGGGAGAGGTATGATGCCTGAAAGCGACTCGGGACTGCATCTGTGGTTTCGGTGGAAAGTCTACTGGAGTCGGGCAGAGCGCTTTCTCACTCCTCACCAAGAGATGACTCTCAAGCAGGACTCCCTTCCTCAAGGTAAGAAGCAACTAAGGATGGTAGATAAGGTAAGAGAGAACGTATCTCATGAATGATGCCCCCAACCACAGATTTCTCGGCAGATGTTATGGCGTGCGTTTCATTGACCAACCGTAGCATTGGAACCACCAACAATGCAATGCAAATGCCTCTGTTGCAAATGTCACGTCATCTCACTCTCATCACCAATCTTTCCCAAGCCTCCAGCCGTGTTCCTCTCTACCCAGGGACCGACTATCTTCAACACAGCACAATTGTATTCACACTGCATGAGACCAACCCACATGCACCAAAAAGACAGATGGCTCTGGAGCCAGAGGAAGTAAGCCTATAACCCGCTCCAATACCACATTGCAAGGAAATGTGCAGCGTCAATGACAATAAACTAGATTGCAGTGCAATAAATTGCAGTATCCCAGTGCGACTGTACCGTAACTGTGCTTGCTGTTTCCTTGGTTTGGGCCTTACGGGACTTGATCCCGTTCGGTTTGTTAGCTTTGAGCCCAACTGGCCTTGATCCTTAGACCTGTGGTCTTAGACCCTTACGCTTTGCTGTTTTGTTGTTTTCTGCAGTTGCTGAAGTCAACCCGGGACTTCATCCTTTTCTTTTGACTTGTAGTGTGTTTGTGGCGATCGACTATTTTTTAGCTTTATTGGGCTTGAACCTTGAACCTGTCGCTAATAGTCTCTACTCTACGTCTAGTCTTAGGCCTTTCAGCCTTGTTGTTTTGTCTTTTTCTGCCCTTCTGGAAACTGGTAGGCCCATAGGTCTTTCTTTTTTGTGTCCTAGCAGTCTAGGTTTCCATCTAGATGCATGTAGGTAGATCTTGACTGTTTTCCCATAGATGTTTGCTGTTTGGACGGTCAGAGGTTGTAGGTGGCTGCTGTGTTGTAGGTCTAGGGAAGTCGGGTAGAAGTACGCAGAGGCTGACGAGTTTGGGGTTCTTTTGGTTCTTTTCGTTGCTTTTTTTTCACGGTCGTGGTGGAGGTCGCGTTGCTTCCCTGCTGCGTTATTGTGGGCATGTACGCAGGGCATCTTCTCCACATGCTGCAGGCGGCCATAGCTGGGGCCAGCCAGCTCCATTGGTGACAGCGCTGGGCTCGGCACCCAAGTGCTGATGAGCGCTTCCTCATATTCGTGTGCTTGTTGATAGTTCCGCTCCAGCAAATTTGTTCATAAATTTCATGCTCTCTTCTCACCCGGGATTACATTTTTTTTTTACTAGTTCTATCCATCTCCAGGGACCCAAGGACTCGAAAAATCAAAATAACGAA